TGATATCAAATCTAGTCCTGTACGGTTTTCAACCACCATGCCTGTTAAAACTTGAAAACGGAGAAATTCTGGGAAGCCTGTGCCACTGTTTCCCTGCATAACGTGTAGAGAGGACATTACATCTTGGCAGCATGCAGTGCCAAAGTGTCATTTACAAAATGCTAAAATGTAAAAGTGGACAAAATAAAACAAGTTTCAACAAATTAATCACACTCCTGGGGTTGGGTCCAAGTTGACTCAGGGTGGGTCCGAGTTAGTGTTGGGCCGAGTTGGTTGTGGGTCGGAGTTGGTCGTGGGTCCTTGTTGGCATTGGTCCGAGTTGGCATGGGTCCGAGTTGGTTTGGGTCCGAGTTGACTCGAAACCGTGTAAATCATTCGTGCCTAGCATGCCCAGTTTAAAATGGGATTTTCGGATCCCTCACAAGTTACTACGTGTATAACTAGGATAAGCAGAAAATACCCAAAGAACAAGATAAGCAGGAAAGAGTAAAGACGTCCTCTGCTCTGGTCATGCTGGTCATGGAGGTAGAAATTTGCTTGAAATGCATATCCCATGGGGTCGACGTCTGCCCTGCTCCCACAAACCTCACAGAAAATGAGCATTTTTTGCCATAGGCTCTGCATGAGGTTTAACACGGCACAAACAGGGATATTCATTCTAGTTGTGTACCCATAGAAATGCTGCTCCATTTCCCCCAGACAAGAGTTCTGTGTAAAATAACTTGCATACCTTCGTTCTGAGTACCAAGAAAGAAACCGGGCCCAAACCATGCCGTATTAAATAAACGCATTCTTGAAAACAAGGAATGTACCTAAATCAATCTTATCTGCTTTGTTTTTGCTACTTACCTCATCAGTTTAATGTGCTAAGTCCTCCACATGGCCACCATTCCTGTCAATGCACATCTGACATCTTCGTTACATGTCCCATACTGCTCGTCTGATCATTTTAAGATCTTGACTCCTGAACATCAATTGAGGGTGTAGTGAAAATTTGGTTCTGCAGGTAACGCCATAAAAAGAAAACGCCTAGACCCCACATGTTGACCTTTGTTAGCAGTAGGCAACTTCTCACAGTTCTTAAAGAAAAGGCATTTGGTATTCTGCACACTTACATGGTCTGTCTAGCCTTGTTAATCACATATGCAAACTTGTCACAGTGCCGATTTCAGTACCCTTAACACTGGTCTAGTTTGTTCACTCATCTGTGTCAATAACATCACAAGCTGTATACCATTGCAAAGAGGACATTCTGCCCTTTGTTGAGATATGTTTCGCTTTCCCATATATAGAGTAGTTTTGCTATTACAGTAATTTTTATCTCGGTATACTTTTTATGTGGTCACCCTGTGTATGGATTGTACTTAAACTCTTCAACTTTGATTTTTCTATTTCAGTGATTGGATCATGTGTATACCTCAGTGTACCATCAGACACTTTATAGTGTAAATTCTGGGTTGCTGCCTGACTTTCCTTTGCAGTCATGGAAAGTACCCAGCTCCAGATGTCCAACAAAAAGGGCACGGCCCCGCTGCACAACTCGGCCGCTTCGCCCCAGGCAGGCCAGGCAGTCCCCAACCCCAGCCTGCAGCAGCTCAAGACCCCTATCTCCCAGAGCCCTGCCCCAACTAACCACGCCCACCGCCACGGCCCCATGTCCACGCCGTCGCCCCAGATGCCACAGAGCCCCGATCCCGTTCATGACCTCCCCCATGAGCTCCTGCAGGCAGGCTGGCGACAGTTCTGGAGCAAGCGAGAGCAGCGCAACTATTACTTCAACAAGTTCACGCAGCAGTCCTTGTGGGAGATGCCTACACTAGGAGACAGGGGAACATCAAGGGTGAGAAAGAAGAAAGCTATGTACTTGGATTTATAAATTCTCTCACAGATTTTATGAACAACAATTCCCTCAGCTGTCAAAGTGTGATAAACTCCAACTTGGAAAGAATTCTTGTTACAAAGATCTCAACATTGTCGTTAACTCTAACCCCCTAGGCTCCTGCACTAGAAAGCATACTGAACCTCACAAAATCCAACAGGTTCATGTACTTGTCTATGTACTTGTACATGCTGGTCTCTGCACCAAACCTGCCAAAACCACACAAAGCCTGCTGTTGGAGTATGGAAGGGTTGAGGTAGTTAGGGTTAAAGAAAAACTGTCAAAATCCAAAAACAAGCACCTCTATCTGATTGTGTCAAGCAGAAGATTTTATTTGGATGCCGTGGAGTTTGTATGATTCAGCAACACATCTGATAGAGTGACATGTGAAACTTCTTCATATTTTCAAACATTATTGCCTGTAGCACGACCCTCTTGGCATCCAGACAGACCACAGCGGGGCACACCCACACCCAGGCTTGCCTTCCCCGCTGGTCATGATGCAACGGAAACACTCGATAGAGGAGTCCCCAGTCAGCCCGACCATCAAAATGAATGACCTCAAAGGGTAAGTGACCAATCAGAGTTCACAGCTAAAAGTCTTCATCCTAAACCCTCTTGTCAATTCTGCAAGATAACTTTTTGACTCTCCTGAAATCCACATGTTTTTAGTTGGGCTGTGTATTCCTATAACTCTAAAAATGCTACAAAATCTGCCATGGAAGTTTGCTGGGTTGTGACAATTTTCCTCGGCATCTTTGTCAAGAACCTTCTTGCATTTGCCAAATTCACTCACTGTGCAGCAATCAATGCACTTTTTCTTTAGCGAAACTCAAAGGACATCAAGCCTTATGTTGATGTAAATGTGATTGGATTCTGCTCTTCAGTAATACATTTATCTTCCAATTCACACAAGTGGAATTTAAAGGATCTAGGAATGTCGGAATATAAAGAAGTTACCGATTAAGTAGACTGCAGTATCATTTGTCACCGAGTGTTTGACAGACCAAGCCAAATAAGTAAATTTTTTTAGGGAAAATGACAAAACCTCTGGGTTTTTAATTGAAAAAAAGTATTTTGACATTCTGTGTTTTGTCTCCACAGTCCATTCTGGGACTTTACGGTAAACACCAATGCCATCATCTTTGAGAGGTACCCCAGCAGGCTTCCCCCACCCCACAACGACATCGAGCAGCTAAGGAGCAACCTGGTGAAGGAACTACGCTCCCGATACAACGAGCTCTGTCAGCAGCGGGAAGGTAAGGGCAAAGTCTCACAACTCATGGATGATAGGTACGGTATTCACTTGGATACTAACCTCAGCTGTTGTGTGCCAGGTACTCTTGAAAGGAGAGTGTAAGAATGCTGAGTAAATGGACTCAGCAATGACTCGGGAACATCTCTGCTTCTCTCCCATGAGGGCAGTATGCCAAGGCAGGAATCTTATGAAGAGCAAATGAGTAACCCAACTCCGTGTTAGAACTAAGCACTCGCAAGAAAGCTCAATTCCATATTTCCTAAACAAAGTTCAAGATGTTTAAATGCTGGATTGATGTGATACCATCGTCTCTAATCTGATACGTTGCCCTTCCTGTGCCCCTCTGTTGCACAACCCTTTGCTGGTCATGGTGGTGTTTGTGGTCATGGTGGTGTTTGTGGTCATGGTGGTGTTTGTATGGGAATTTTTGTACTTGGTGCACTTTTTAAAGTACTTCATAGTATTTCAATTTCATGTCAGTTTGAATTTTTCGAAATACTTTTTTCTTGGGATTTGACCCATAGGCCATGATGTGAGATTTAGACGTGAAATGATGGTGCTGGGCACTGTTCGTGGGAAATGTTCATGTTACTCTTCTGATTTGAACAGCGTGCTGTTTCTCAGTTTGTCATCAAAGACACTCTGGTGTTTCTCTTTCTTGCTACCAGGAATCCGTGCCCCGAAGGAGTCTTTCAACCGTTGGCTGCTGGAGAGAAAGGTCATCGACAAGGGATGCGATCCCATGTTGCCTAGCAACTGTTCTCCAGAGGTGTCTCCCTCCATGAAGCGGGAGATAATGAGTGACATCCCCATCAGGTATTTGGTCTCTGGCTTTTGAGCTGTGTCCGTTCTGAAAGATCTTGTGCATCAACATTTCCTTTACATTCGAGCCCGTGGGAAATCTAGTTTGGTATTCACGCAGAAACATTGGTTGATTCCTTTTTGGAAAGGTTGCACAGACCCAAGATGTTTATGGAGGCCAAGAAATTGCTGTACAACTACGCAGAGGCTGCCAAGAAGTTGATAGAATCTAGGTAAGTAAGTCAAATTTAAGCTCAGAGCACAACATCAGGGCTACATATTTAATGCAGCAGCAGTTTCAATGACCGGTGATGGACATAGTACAGGAAATTTTGAGATGCACGGTGGCAGCAAACATGCGGTTCTCAAGTGACCAGTCCGTTATTGCTTGCGATACGCTTGAGCCAATGGGGGCGTGCACAAGATGATATGTGAGCCTGGGTACATGTGTGCCTGGCGACGTGATGGGTCTGGAAGTCGCCCACTTGAATGAACTCTTCCTCTGCAGAACAATGTGAGTTCCCTTCGGAATTTTGCCGTGTTCACAATAGGAAGAGGCCAACCCTGAGTAAAGCTTGCAAGGGCATTGACGTTGTTAAAGGATCAGATGTTATGCCCAGTAGGAACAATGTTCCCTTTGGAATATTCAATAGACCTTACACGTAAAGTAACATCCAGCTTTCTTCCCATGGGGTTCAATGAATCGCAGCCCACCTCTCAGCCATAGGAAAGCCCAACCTTGGGCTTTGTCATAAGTTTTGAATTTTGAAAGTTAGAGACAGCCCCTCCGAGAGTTTATTTCTCTTCACTGATGCTGGCCAATGTGGATGGCCTACTGTCATCGCCATTTTACTGAAATGCTGCAACATGTTGGCGACACTTGGCCCAACACTTATCCGCTCCAGCCGATCTTGTCCAAGCATGGTATCCTAACATTCCACATGTCGATTACGTCTCACAGGAGAGCCACCCCAGAGAGTCGTAAGATCATCAAGTGGAACGTGGACGAGATGTTCCGATGGCTGAGAACGGGGCCCAACTGTACCATTGACGAATTCATGGTAAGGATAGCCATGCCTTGCGGGAAAGTTCAAGATTGTAGACAAGTTCAAACCTAAAGCCAGTTCACATTCCCCAAAATCTGAACATTGAGATAAGGCAGCAATCGAGTCATTGGCCCTTTGCGCTGCTGAGTTGAAAACGAGGCTACACTGGCAAGCTGCGGTATTCGAAAGGATTCTCAAGTGATAAGTTGGCAACCTACACGGTAACCATTCCAAAGACTGCTGGTTTTGCAAGTATAACCTCGTTTCTGGTCGGGTGAGAAGGTTCCTTGCCAATAAGCCAGTATCTAATAGTTCGTGTGAGCCTGTGTGGCACTAATGAACATACAGTCAAGATGGTGGCAGTGTTGCAAACCTAAAAATCAGCACTGGAGGAACCCTCAGAAAGGATTGTGCATTTGCTAGATTTCTGAGAGGGTGTTTCTGAATTTGAGACTTTTCTTCCGATGTTGTTATCGAAACTCCTTAAGACTGTCAAAGGACCAACACAGGACCTCCTGTCACAAGCCATTTAATGGAACTGCGATAACAGCACTCCCTTCTCATTTTTTACCGCGTCACTTTTTACCCGGTTGCATGCCCGGTCTGGTGATGGTCCCGACCGCAACCCCCTGTTATTCTGCTGGGATTTGTCACCTGGCAATGACACTGTGATTCCCGCCGACAGAAACGCCTGGCCCACCTCAAGGAGCAGTGCGGGCCCCATCTCAGCGCCGCCGTCTCCTCCTCCGTGGAAGGCATCTGTACCAAGATGTACCACATGTCCTGCGAGATTGTCAAGAAGCTACGAGACAAGCATTGGGAACTGCTGAAGGAACATCAGATTGAAGGTGAGGAGAAGATTCTGTTATTGCTACCCGGGTAATTCCAGAAATTAGGGGTCCATGTTTTTTCGTGTCCCTGTCACATCTGACATTTGATTTTGTAAGTTCCGAACACATTTTGTAATTTCCAAGAGTGATGTATTAACCTTAACCTTCCCCAACCACACAGAATTAAACAGTGGTAAAGTGTTGAATTCTGTGGGGATAGGTCTGGTAGGCCCATAACAGCTGACTTTTGCATTGGGTTTGGCATACCTCAGAAAAACAAAGTCCAACAGCCGCTGTGCACAAAGTCTCATATGGGTGTTTAACTTTGTGTGAATGGGAAAGGTTAGGGCCAGCAACCTTTTGGGGGGTTAGGGATAATGTAAATTACCAACCAAACAAATTGTAACAGTTTTGAAATAAATTTCAGTGATATTTCCGTGTCAAATAACAAAGGTTAGATGTAACAAGGACACAAAAATGTCACACTTTTGGACCCTTAGTTTCTGGAATTACCCACCTGCCAGAGGTGGAAATATCACGGACTATTTGCTCTTTGGGTGAAAAGATAATCTGCCTGAATGCCTTTCTGGGAGGCACAAGTTGGTCTTAACTACTGGTTAGTCTTATTCCGATGTTGGATTTTAGATTATACATATCAGTTGTGGTAATGATAATTCCCCTAATTCCCTGCGATTTCCCCCAGAGCCCAAGCCCTTCACAAGGCCACCCCAGGACAAGAAGATGCCCTGCTATGCCGTCTTTGCCATCGTGCCCAGCCCCAGGCTGCCCTCGGTGGACATTCACGAAGAGGGGCCCACCACGTGCCTTCGCTACAATGGCGAAATGATGAAGATCAACACAGCCTATCTCAGAAAACTGGTAAAAAAAAAAAAACTTGAAAATTTCCGAATAACTGATGCATTTTATCCCCTAATTTACACTTGTTTAAATTTGAGACTAACTTCAACTACTCACGTTGAGTGTTATGAGACTGAGTAATACAGATTTGGAATGATCCATGGATAGGCAAAGAGACCACATGGTGCTCACAGTGTTATCTTTTTTCTTGTTGCCTGCTCCAGGAATTGTTGTACAGATTGCATGCCACCGATGACAGACTCCGATATAACTTCTTGCCAAGGGTGTGGTGCTTGCTTCGTAGATATCAGGTAGGGCCATCTTCAGAATTCATTAAGACAAGGAGTCCGGCCCATGTTGTTTATATTAAACGCCGATGTTGACTTTAGTTAAACAGGCATGCAACTTTTCCTCAGATGAGCCGGTTTCCTCGTTTTTCACCGCACACTTATGCAAAGAACTTTGGAGTGGCTTACACGATCGTGAAGTTATTATCACACGATTGTGAAGTTATTATCACAGGTAACCTTTTGACCGTTTTTCTCCAGACTTTGTTTGGAGTGGGGCCGTACGAAGGTAATGGCTTCCATGGGGCGCTGCCCCTAAACGTCTTTGAGGCGCTGAACAAGAACTTTGGCGTGACCTTTGAATGTTTTGCCTCGCCTCTCAACTGCTACTTCAAACAGTTTTGCTCGGTGTTTGCCGACACCGACTGCTACTTTGGCTCCAGAGGGTAGGTGACCTGACCCGTTTGGATTTACAATCAGTTCTTCTCAATCTACGCATCTTTCCAAAAGCCAGAAGGGACCCGGCTGTTTTTTGTCTTGAGCCCCTGCAAACTTTCACCAAGTGTTACAAAAAATCCGGCAAAATATTCATTTCTAACTTGTACTTTTAATTGCAATGTCTAAAATTTAGATTTGATCTTTTTTTTACTGGCTAGTTTAATTTTTGCATCTATGATTCTTGAAAGTTTCTTATTGGTTTAGGTCGTTTTTAAATTATTAACTCTTAATTTAAATGTCACTCTGTTACGATTTAAATGATACTATTTTATGTAAAGCACTTCGAGTGTTAATTTAGGTGAATGGGTGCTATACAAACATTTTTAAGTATTTATTATTGAAGCTATAAAAACATCAAATACTTAACACTGCTGCTAAGTGAAAATACAACCCTCTTTAACCCCGTCACGGCCGGATTATTTTGACCGCGACTGCTGGGCTGTGGCATGCCCTGAATGGAGGGCTTTGTCCAGCAGCAGGCCCCATTGAACCAGCAGCTGCATGGTGAATAGACTGTATGTGTGGTATGCACTAATCCTCGCACAGCGGCGCGGTAGTAGCAGTCCTCCGTAGCGAAGGGGTTAAAAGTATTGGGGTAGATGAAGCTTATCTTGGACAACGCCAGGGTGATACTCCAACATTGGCCACACATAGGAACAGTTGGCTGTCTGTATCACATTTAGTATGCAATTAAGCCCTAAGTGCTCGTTTTTTTTCACCTCTCTGCTTTTCTCTATCGTAGTCCGTTGCTGGATTTCCACCCAGTCAGTGGATCCTTTGAGGCCAATCCACCCTTTGGTGAGGAGCTCATGGAAGCCATGGTCGCTCATTTTGAGGTACATTTTTTGGGCCAAGGCCATTGCCAGAGTCCTCCAAGTTATGAGAATGTAAACTATGCTGTAACTGTTTGTCCTGCAGATGGCTGCTTGGAGTAATGCCCTAATTGATAAAAAACAGGGTTGTGTATTTATTTTATTTATTTATTTTTATATCTGATCATCAAAAACGGGGCTGTATAGTTATTTACTTTATTTATATCCGATCATCCAAAAACGGGGCTGTGTATTTATTTTATTTATTTATTTTTATATCTGATCATCAAAAACGGGGGCTGTATAGTTATTTATTTTATTTATTTATATCCGATCATCCAAAAACGGGGCTGTGTATTTATTTTATTTATTTATTTTTATATCTGATCATCAAAAACGGGGGCTGTATAGTTATTTATATTATTTATTTATATCCGATCATCCAAAAGCGGGGCTATGTATTTATTTTATTTATTTATATCTGATCATCCAACAGCGCATTTGGCGCCAATTACAGGATGATAAGGAGTGAAGAAGATAAATGAAGAAATGTTTAGTTTTTAGAGGTGGGAGGAAAACCCCTGAGAAATGTTTCGGGGAAAACCCATGGACTCAGGTAGGGACTGAAAACCCAACCCACAGGTGGACCGAGCCTCATTCGAACCCAGGCCCCCAGAGATGGAAGGCAAGAAAAGAACCACTTCACCAACCTGACTCCCCATAGTTACGTTACCTCCATAGACATTCTATTCTTTGATGATGCTGCTAGTTATGTGCTAACTTCTGAAATGCTTAAATGCTTTTTTTTTGGCATTTTTAAAGTATTTTGTATAAGAAACTATACCTTGGAATCTTAACATTTTTAGGTTACAAACATTTAAGAACAAGTCCAGACTTTTTTTCCCTTTTCATTTGTCAAAGCTAGATACCCTTGGGTATTAACCCAAGAAAAAACTCAAGGTCAGAGTTATCAAAATCAAGTCATTCTCAGAGCACAGATATTTTGCCTGTGTCCAGAATCGCCAGATCAGTGTCACGCAGACATTTTTTGCAATTGACTTCGCAGGCTGTGTCCCGTACAATTTCATATCTTACAGAAGTCTGCTATAGCTAACGACGTCAGAAAACAGTTATTTACATGTGTGTCTTGTGCTTAAATCTTTGCACAGCGGCTGCTTGCCAATACAACGGATCCGCTGTCTTTCATTGTTTTCGTTCCGGAATGGAGAAACCCGCCCACTGCCGCCCTGGTCAACATGGAGCAGAGCAGGTCAGAGAAACTGGATCCATTTTTAACTGCACTGCACAACACCAAATGTGTTATGTAATACTCAGAGTGAGCAGAAGTCTAGAGAAATATTTTGCAGTCAAAATGACCCTGGTGGTGCACTCATACCCACAGTGTTGTAACAGCAGGAAGAGTTTTGTGAACCTGTCAAAGACAGCAATCGGGTTTGGAGGTGTACCAAGAAATGTACAAGTTTGGTTGTTTGGTTCATCGTGAGCCCGGTCAGGTGCACTACTGAGAATTTTGTGATTTCAACCGTCGGTCACTGCTTCACTGTGCTGTGTTTGATTGCGATCAAATAACCCCATAACCAGGCTGAGATTTGGATTCTTCTCCTGCTGTTTATAAAAAAAATTTGCCTGAAGAGAACTTTAGTAGTTACTACATTCAATGAAATTTCCAATGGAATTTCTGGAATGCGCCCTGGCGACATGTGCATTGGTGCTTTTCAAATACCAGCTGATTAGTCTGCAGCTTGGGCTCAGTTTCACGGTGTTGCTTACTATTCAGGACATTTTTTTTGGCTAATCTTGGAACAAAACTTTGCCAAACAGTAAGCGTTTTCACAATGAACATTTTATAGTCGCTGTTGCTGTTGTTAGTAGGCAAATTGTGTGGGCTTGCATGGAGACATCCATCTCTTGTGTCACGAAGTCCGGCAAATTTTTCCTCTAAAGCTAAGCATGCCTTTTTTTAATGCTTACTGTCGTAGTCCATGATATATGCAGAGCCTCTTTAAGCATAAAATTATGTGCTTAGCAGCGCAGTGACATTGGGCCCTGGTTGCGGGATGGTGGGTCACAATTGAGTCCAGCTCTCTTAGACTCGGAGAATCTCATCTTACCATGATTTGGTTCACCCCCCTTGGGCTTAGGTTCAAGAGGAGACAGGAGATTGTGTTAGCCTACGAGCACGAGTACCGCAGCGGAAGGCAGCATTCCTGTTCAGTGTGAGTCCAAACGAGGCAACTTATTCACCTTGCTGTACAATTTCACTTGGAGCTCTTTCCTGCCGTGGTTGACCCACACCAGTGTACATTTTCAGAGCCAAGAAAAATTACTTGGACTACACAACCAGTGTCGGTCAAGTATGGTCTCAATCTTTCACTTATAAATCATTGCGTCAGTGCAAAAACATTGTATCTTGGTTTTGAGAAAAATGCATAAGTAGGTTTGCAGCCTCACGGTAAACGTTTGTGTTAAATTAAATCACAGGAAAATGGAACTTGAGGCAGATAATGTATTTACAAACACATCCCTACTCTCTATCCCTACTCTATTTTACTCTATATTCTTGTATTTTCCAAAAATTTACATTTGTTCCTCCAATTCTCTTGATTGATTTTTAATCGTAAAATTGAATGATTTGGGTTCAGTTTCAAATTGTGATCAGTTGCCATGAAAAGGGGACAAAATTCAAGACTGTTTTATATTGAATATCGGGAAAATATTAATTTCAATGAATTTTGAGATACGATGTTTTGCACAAACACAAGTATATGGCAGTATGCATTGAGCGCTGCGATACAACATTTTAGCATGAGCCCAAAGGTGTGTAACTAAGATACAATGTTTAAACATCCCCTAATTATGTCATAGTTACGCAGTATTTTTCAATGAAATTTACCTGCAACCTGAATTTAAAAAAATATACAGTAACAACAATTTTGCACTAACAAGATGAAATGAACCGTGGTCCGCCCCGTTGATAAGGTGAAACAGGTGTGGAAGTAGGTTTCTGCGATATTTACGTTTCGTACTTGTTAACCCTAACCTTCCCCAACCACACAGAATTAAACAGTAGTAAAGTGTTTAATTCTGTGGGGATAGGTCTGGTAGGCCCATAACAGCTGGCTTTTGCATTGGGTTTGGCATACCTCATAAAAACAAAGTCCAACAGCCGCTGTGCACAAAGTCCCATATGGATGTTTAACTTTGTGTGAATGGGGAAGGTTAGGGCCAGCAACCCTCGGGGGGTTAGGGTTAAGTGCCCCTATTTGGGTTTTGCCTCAGTGTGCTGCTCGTGAACCTGAAATGCAGATTCCCTGTGTAGTTGATGAAAGGACGCACATGTTGGTCTTACAGAATTATCGGAAAAGAAGGTTGTTGTATCATAGCTGACTTTTAGATGAGGCCAATAGCAGTTCCAATTATTCACCTTTACTCAGCAACATGCATTTGTGTAGGAATGTAGTGGCAAAATTGACATCATGCTGGACAGCACCCTCAACGTTTCAGAGTGTGTAAGAGCTTCACTGATATTAATTCAGTATCCCGTTGATTGTCTGCAACAGGGAGGAGATGAACTATCGTGCCGTCCACGGGACAGCCATCTTCTTCTTGCAGAACGAGGCAGGCCACCAGAGGTGGACCCCAACGGACGAGAAGATCCAGATCCTGATGGAAGCCTACCGGCCCAGTGAAGGCAAGGAGGGCCCTCCCAGGAGGAAACTGGCTAGCGAGTGGCCGGAAGTCAATCGGAGGCAGCCCCCTACAGAATCGCCCACCTACCGACCAGGAGCCCAGAAGAGGAGTATGGACTCAGAGACGGACAGTGACCCTCCGGCAAAGAAGAGAGCCAGAGAATGGAGCAGAACTGGTGACAACGGCGATCCCCCGCCGAGGCGGAACGTCAGAGATGACGGCCCCCTCGCAAGCCCTCTGGGTGGATACATTTCCGAGAAGGACAGGACCAGTAACGATCAGAGAACACAGGATGGAAACCACACAGACAAGTTCCATGGAGATCACCCAAGCAGCTCAAGACCAGGAACTGCAAGGATTGTGAAGTGAAAACCTCTCTTATCCAAAGCCTGCCATCAGCCAATGGCCACATGACGTAATGGGAGACCCAACCTCTGGGGTCTTAGTACGTAGATTTCTTTTGAATGACTCAAACGGCTCTCGGATTCTCTTTAACTTCAAGCACTCTCCTCACAGTCTCCTAGTTGTTCATCAGACAAATGAGTACGCCATGTCAGCGTGTCCTTCCTTGACATTCACATTGGGAAAGGTACCTAGTTATGAAGCAGTTGGAAATCCCAAGTTTGCCACACCATGCAGTGTAATGCAAGGGCCAAAATGCGCAAAGTGCAGTGAAAAACGTTTACTCAAATTTGGCCGGCGTCATGTTCAAAAATATTTTCTGTGTGCTGTGTTAGCGAGCACATTTTTGTTTCATCTGGTATTTGCTTAATCTTCCTTGTGCGTGAGCTTAATTCAAGGAGTCATGGCTGAGATTTGCACAAACTCTGACGGGTTTAAGTGTGCACTTGCATTTTGCCAGATGCAACAAAGCACTGTCAGAATCTCGTTTGCTGGGGTCCTGCGGCCTTTTGATGAGGCTTTTCTGGCCTGTGAAACCATGCCCTGTCAAGTAGGTATTTGCTGAAGATCTCAGAAAGTAGATTGTGATCATGTTAAATGCAGACCTAGCAACCCATATTCTCCCAGAATATTCCGATAGAAATGCCAAGAGCTTGAGCCCAGTTAATCCCCATCGTTTACTTGATAAAGTGTCAATTGCCTGCTCCAAGGTTGACATTTGTAATTATGCTATGCTTTACTGACTGCAGTACTCTGAAGATATGGTTGGTGTCAAGCCTGCCACATGTTCGATATAAGTCCACAAACCGAAGAAATTCCTGAACGATTTTGGCAAGCCATGTTTTGACAGGATTTGGTTGTGAAAGCATGGACAAGAGGTACATTATGTTAGAGCGTTGTGCAGTCATTATGTCAGGTTATCTCATGATGTTGACCTTTTGCCGCTGTCCAGTGTGTACTTCTGTTGATTTGAGCCCTCGACAGTCGCGTTCATACTCGGATGTGAACGTGAACTCGAATGCGTAATGATGACATCAGGACAAGTATTCACACTGTGAATTTGCCAAAGTGAAACACTTTTCAAGTCAAGCGATTTTCGCTGCAGGTGTTTGTGGCATCAGATTCAATTTGATTTCACTTGAAATTTGAACTGTCCCCAACATCCTCATTGGTGGTAATGCAAGTCGCTCATATTCTGAAATGTTGCTGCGTAGCATACTCCCAAAAACATCAGAAACAGGAAAATTTCTGCCAGTGACTAAATTTTCCAGCTTGCAAAGGCCCTATATTTCAGCATCCTGAACTTATTTAGATTTCCTGTCAGTATTTTGCAAGGGCCAACACAATCCAACAACATAAAGTAGTAAACCCTGATGAATTTGGATTTTGTTGGACTGGTGTTTTTTGTTTATTTAGCATGTGTACATAAAATTTTGTTTATTCAATTACGCAAAGTATATTTGGAGAAATTTGCAAGTGTTGTAAATTCCCACTTCAGGTTTTGTAAATAATGCAATGGGAGTGTTTTCTCTGCGTCTGAAAAATTTTCAGAACAAGAAGCATGAGTTTCAAGCAAAACATGAGCAAGGAAGTACTTGCGAATTTCGCGTGAGACACCTGCTAACCATTGCTCACCCAAACTGTGGTGGGTCCCTCCAAAGAATGATTGGTTGTACCCATTCTGGTGAAAAATCGCCATACATACATTGTACATGCTCACTGGACAAACAACAGTTTGAGTGGGCTACACAGCCGCTAATGTTCCTGCAGCTTTTTTTTATTGGAGTCGTACAACCAGGGAGTAGCTTGCAGAGTTCCACTGCCCAGTGTCATTAAGAATATTTGTTGTTTCTCTCGTGCAAAGTAGGTACACGTTCCCAAGAATGTTTACCTATGGGCACTCACATTATAGGTGGAGTCATACTTAGTTTGAAAGCACTCAGAGACTCCAAATGGTGGCATACATTTAAGATCAAATATACATGTTGGGAATTCACAGAAAGTTGAACCCACACAACCCTACTAGGCTTCACTGCTCATGTATCGCGACGTCAAATTTGTCTTGCTCTTGCCCGAAGTACAAGTGCGAACCAGGTTTGACCATATAGCAGACTGCACTTTTTTTCTAGCAAAGTGCTCTCCAAAATAAGAACAGGTGTGGTCCGAGTTCTGAGACACATGTCCTACCTTCCTTTTACTGTATATTCGGATAATATTAGATCGTATTTCATCATTGGGAAAATTTTCTTTCTTAGAAAAACGATGCACGGAAAGTAAAGATACTTCTACATTTTTTTTCTCTCTCTCAGCTTGCTGATTTCAATCTTTGGTTTTTAACTGGCACAGTTTTTGCTTTTGTTTTTTCCAGAAAATGCCTGCCCCTGAACCAAACAATAATCAGTTGGAAGTAAAATAGTTGGATGTTCTGGTGTTAATGCCATCTTGTGTGAGTGGTTCTGTTTTAATCTTGCATAAAATAAGAGTGCATTTAAGTCAACATTTTAGCTGGAATTGTGTAAATATTGTACATAAACCCCAAGAGAATGTATTTAAAATATAAAAATTTTCCCATAGCCCAAGGTCATCTGGTGTAAGAACTCACTCTGAACTGATTTTCAGCTTTAATTTTATGCCGAAGGAATCCTTTTACAAAATGACGGAAAAAAAATCTTAAATTTTTGTGAGGACAAATCAAAGGAGAGAAATTTCCCAATTTTAGATTAACTGTATGGTGTTTTTACATTGAAAAAGTCATTCCCAAGGATCAAATTAATTGCCTGAATAAATTTTTAACTTTTTTTTAATTTGTGTACATTGGTTTTTTTATGGTTTAATCTGTAACAAGTCGAGTTTGTAGCTGTGAATGTGTTGTAAGACGAGCAGAACTGATCAGTTGTATTAAACAGCAGTGTCACAGTGCTCAGGTTTACCGAATTATAAGATGGGGTGCTAATGCAAGAATCGAGCTGAAGTACCCAGATTGCATAGACTGAGGCCTATGAATGAGCAGGAGTATATATGTTCACTAAGAGCCGCAAAAGTCCCGAGTCTGAATCTTGTTTTTTAACCTTCCATGAAATCTGAAAATATTTGTTACGGAGGTGCCGGACTTCCTGCCCATAATTAAAAGACTAAGTATTGGACATCAGTGGTGGCTTTCTTAAGTTCTGTGCCTTTATCTGGATAATGAGTTTTTTCAGTATACCTGTGAAACTCGGGAAAAGGACACGTCTACCACGCTGTTTAACCGAGGGATTAAAGCTGTGCTTAGAGAAGGGTCAAGAGGCCACCACATTATAGATCTTGGGGTGCATTTCATTAACTTTCACAGGTTGATAACAAATGCAAAATGTATCAAACCAATGACAGTTCCCTTGGGGGAAAAATGGTCTCCGATTTGACAGCACGGCAAAACAATGCAGAGAACATATGAATGCAAATGAAGTGGGACGTAATTAGTTAACCTGCAACTTTTAACGTTTTATGATCCAAGTGGCTGGTGATAAACTGCTGGTCAAGCAAATTACGCTGTGCCATAAATGTCTTGGAATATGGAAGAGGGACTAGGCACCACAGGCACAGCAAGGGGGCATTTTCGACCCCCTGACCCATCCCCTACTACCCCCCAAGAAAACGAGCGAAAAAAGGAAAAACTGAATGAAAATCATCCAACTTGCTTTAAGATACCTTGGAATTGACCGTCATCACCATTGAGGGTTTGTCAGCTTGCTGCTGATGGTGCTTTGCCCCCCCTCCCTCACCCCTGCCCCCTAGAAAGTGCTTTGTCCCCCCATTCAAGCGATGCCAGTGCTAGGTACTACTAGACTATTCAGCTGATGCCATAGACAAACCTGGTGACCACAGTAACGCTATCACTGGTCATTGGCCGTGGAACCACAATGGCACTTACGTAGTGTGATTGAGAGAAGCTTATGACAGTGGGTCCGCGCAAGACCCAACATAATGCTTTCTGTCATTAACAGAAGCCATCGGAAATGCCTAGTGAAAAGAGTTAACAGAATCAGGAAATTTACAGTGTATGTAGACTAGCGAATGGGTTTATGTGGATTGACACCTTGACATCTTCAGTTTCCGGCCATGCAGTATTTTATATTTACTCCCGTACTTTTTCAAACTTGTGCTAAAGAGCCTGGAATTTTTCGACTTAAATGCATTTACTCAATTTGAGTATGTCATGTTTGTCCAGTGTATTATCGGGATAAACATTTTTGGAAATTGTAAATACTGGATTGATACTGCATTGATAATAGTATCATTTTAAAAATCTTTTGGTCACTTCCTGACTGATTTGCTTGGATTTTGAAGTATTTCTTTTGTAAGTAGCATTTTGTGTACACCACACAGTTCTTTTCTTTTAATGGATACATTATACGACTGTCATCATTTCATTTCATGCAGTACATTTCTGCTGGTCATTCAGACAGATTGTAGACCTGTAGTACTCATGAAAAAAAAAGCCAGGTATTCATAGCTAATAAACTTGTGTGAGATTATTTTTGGGGGAGGACTATTGGAGTAGTAATGCATGAATATAATTAAATATCAGATTGTTTTGATATGAATTGCCATCAAAATATTTTGAGCGTGACACATGAATTGTTTTCACATAACTTTACCACGTTTAAAATACAAAATGAGAAAAACACGCTGGTATATCCACGAGAAAGCACAGCACAAAGACATTTTGAAATCAAATTTGGCACAACTCAATAAAGAAAGATCGCCATGATGAAATATCACATGGAAGTTGTTCCTGTACATCTGTTGTACTTTTGATGAAGTGTTGTCTCACACAATCAGTTACCTCACAGCTTAAAAAGAAATAGCTTGATTGCAAATACAGTGAAGGTAGCGATGCAGGTGGTACACCCCTTCGTGCATATTTAATTTAGTTGGATACGGGCTTGGGCATTGGGGAGGGGATCTTGTCCCTCCCTCCTTCAAATAGATAAAGGGGAACGAAGAAAAACAAAATAAAGGGATGGAAGTCACAGGTGCGCTTGAGAATGCCTGAGAACTGACCCCTTCCACCGTCCATGGATTATTGGTACTGCTAATGATTGTCGTGACCTTGCCCTTGAAAAAAAATGTCCCTACCCCCAGGAAGAAATTAATGGTAAGGGCCTAGCACCTGTGGACACTGGCTGTACAGATAACTTCATGTTAAGATAGAGTTGGAGTTTGAGCTCACGTTGCACTCGCCGAGTGCTCGAACACAGGTAATGTTTTTCAGTGGAGAGACCTTGAAATGAAATGAAAAGATTTTAATGCATTAGTGGCAGAAAGAAGTTGTAAATAACTGTTTGGACCCAATTCAAACGACACCCCCCATGTAGCAGGTTGGTGGTTTACGTACCGTAAAGCACGTGGGAAGTAATAGCGCCCTCTATTGGTAGCTCCTGGCCCCACAAGATCTAGTTCCTGCACTGATACGACGGACAATGCATAAAAAGAGAGTTCTCAGTTTTGGTGTTCTGTCTATTTATGTTCCATTCGCGAGATGTGACATGTGGATATGTTGCGTGAGTGACGACGCGACAAGCATGACATGCACGAGGACTAGGGGCTGGACTGTTATTGTCGAGTTTTAAGAAGGGCCTACTGTTAAAAGTGAGGAGTAACTATAGAAAACAGGGCCACTCCGTTTTTACCGTAAGTATACGAGTTAGTACGCATGCTACCTAACCTTAGGCCGCGCCTAGCCCAGGTTGTCAGGTAGGCCCTACCATTACCCGTAAACAGGGCCCAACGAATACTCATCTATCGTATACTGGGCCCTGTTCCAATTAATACATGGAGGTATTTCTTTTGAAAACTTTATCCGGGACATCCGGGGGCATAACTAAACATCCGCTTAATTTTATGAGCTGAAATTGCACCGGTATGTTCACTACTTACATTGTAAAAATTCCAATAGGTTGCTAATGCTAATTGTAGAAAACTTGCCTTTTCTTCATTTGGAGGAAAAAATGTTGCCTTTTTTGCCATTTCCCCACTCCGGACGAATTTTCTCCTGACTTGTACATTACACAGACTCCTTCGTATGGTCAAGTAATGATACCCTGTACGAGAGCCTGTCTAGTTTGCACCCAGACTTCAGCACCTTCGTATTTCGTTCAGATCTGCGAGAGTACATGTACCTGTCGATCCAAGGAATGCTGGTCAACTTGTACGCCGACCAACTCGTACACCCCAACTCGTATGCCAAACAACTCGTACGCTGACCAACTCGTACACCGACCAACCCGTCCACCAAGGTTCACATGTGTGTCGGAGCATTAACGTCGTACAAGCTTTTGCTGCCATGTTTTCATCAAATTTACTTTTAGATGTAAATCAATTACATGTAAAAAACCAGATAAGCTGATTGTTCATTATTTTTTTCTTTTTAGGTCGAGACTGGTGTTTTTAGATTTTGCTTAGATATCCTTAATTAAATGATGTTAATGTTATATACCCTGTGGTGGGATTCGGAACCGGATTCCAACCAACCAATCAAATTAGGGACAAGTTGAGGTTGAAAATAGTCCCCAAAAGTATTTGCATAACAAGGAAAGTGTTCTAACAGCTTGGCGTTTGCGTTCCCAACCTAGTTGTCGGCCCGCGCTACAAAGCCAAAGCTTCTTGTGCTCATTGATAGCATGGACCACACAGACAAAGGATATGGCTAATTAGCAGTTCTTAAATGTTTCACTGTAGAAACCAATTTATTCTCTAATTATTCTATCCATGTTAACTTTCCTATGCTGAAGTCACACTTTGGGTCAGCTGTGTTGTGTTGTGCACTGCACCAACGTGCAAAAGAGTGACCTTGGGCACTTGTGCATATTTGTGCTGTAAAACTAAAGGAGGGTTAAAGTCAAAAGTAACAGCCTTCCAATGCTAAGATGCATTCTTGACACAGTTGTCATATCAGTCAAAATCAGTCAAAATCAGTGTACTGGGGGAAATCAATTGGAAGGCCTTTTTGACTGTTTTTGACGGTTAAAACAGAAGGAGGTTTAGTCACACAAATATCATTTTTGGTAGCATCCTGGGAGCTTGCCCTTTATGACAAAATGCAACACATCACAACTGTCAACATTAACCAGTCAATTTTGCAATTGAACAGAACTTCTCTAGAGCTTTGCAGCGTGTACTTAAATTACTCAAATCTTCATTCATATACATCACACACTATGGGGGGGTGTGGGTGAAAGTCGGATCCTTGGACCCTGTCGGACCTGGCCGGATCGTCCATGTAATCACATTACAAATTGGTCAGGTTTGGGGATCGGGGTTGTGCAATTCTGTAGCGCCTTTCCTAAATCCAGTTCATGGTTTTCCTATGCAGGATCAGGGAAGGTCCGACTAGCTCCTGGATATTATCAGTCAAGGTAGTGACAGGAATTATTAACCCTAACAGTCCTCAATCCTTCACCTGTTGGAGGACTGAGGACTGTTAGGGTTAAAGATGCTTCTAATAACATTAGTTATACAAGGCGCACGAGTTGGTCGCCGTATGAGTTGGTCGGCATACGAGTTGGTCGGCGCACGAGTTGGTCGCCGTATGAGTTGGTCGGCGTACGAGTTGCCACGCGTACAGCTTGACCAAACTGCACACGAGTTAGTCAGTGTACAGTTGTTCACGAATCGCAACGAAAAGCGTGGAGTTTCTCAAAAATTTTCTGCAAAATATGTTGTATGCGAATGTATTTAATAATTTCAACACTGCATTTATGGAATTCGGAATACAACTTCAAGGCACGTGTGAACGACATTTTGAGCTGCTTTTGGCAGGAAAAAATGTGAGAAAAAAACGTACTAGAAAAATTTCTCATTGTAGGAGGACTTTTGTACCCTAGACATCAGTCGTAGTGTAAATGAAGACAACGTCCAACCTGGGCTAGGTCTAGGCAGTACCTGCCTACACGTGTGTTTAAGAACTCTCACAAAGTTCTGTGTAATGTTGGGCCTAACGTTGGGCCTATTAACCCTGGGTTTGCAACACTGTATTACATGTACCGGGTAGGGAGAGCTTTTGGATCCAGCCCAGTAACAGAGTTAGGTCAATCCAGTGGTGATTGGGGTACATTTACTTCACTCAGAAATTCCACTTGCTTAATCAAATCGTCCTCCCAAGAGGCTTGATAGTCAGTTCACCCCATTTCCACATCGTCACATCCCCACATAGCCCCATCTCCACTTTTGCCCAATCCGTGCTCGAGTGTGTTACAAATACAACCCTCTTCAAAAGATGGTCCTGAGAGGAATTCCTCAAACGATATGGAGTCATACTCTATGGCATTCACCAAATTTATGTCAATTGCGTTGTCCATGGTGAATCGATACATAATGTACACGTACATGTACATGTATGGTTGGACTAACATTGGGTTCATTTCTCATCCTCTTCAAGTTTATTTCAAAGCGATACACAGTTCTGTACACATCGTTCTGGTACACGTAATTGTCGATGCATCCAGACAGCTGTTCCCCGGCGATCAGATTAACCTCAGTGCACCGCAGCAGGAAATTTTTCGGAAACATGCTGGCTTCAAGTACGAGCAAAACAACCTAAAATTAAACTCCAGAACGCAGAAAATACACACATAAAAAAAGATACTAAGTTCTGTGAATTAACTTGAAGAAATCTTGCAATATCGATGCTTTTTTCCAATGCGTGAGGTCAGGTACGTGTACATGTGTGGTCCCTGCGGCATGAATAGACTGGTTGCCCCACTCCATCATGCATCCTCTAGCATGGGTGCAGTGCGGTGGGAACCAGCTCTTTGCGCACATGTTTTTACCACAGCAACAGCGAAAACCGAAGAGAACTTGGGAATTTAAGGAAGTTACATGTAATTGCAAAATTGGGCGAAGTGGGGATGGAGCAAAGTGGAGAATGGGGCGAAGTGGCCAAGACAGCCCAAGAGCCAATGAAACTGATGCATATCCTTATATCATCAGGCATCCGATAAAATCAAATCAAATTTGTTTGTTTGTGCACCGTGTGGATCATTAACTCTTGCCTTACACTAGCAAGTTCAACAGAATTATCAGATCATGCCGTCATATCTGCTAGTGTGTAAAAACTCGATGACAAAAAACCCGTAAAAATAGTAATCGCCAATAGTTCACCTTAAATTTGTGATCCTCTTGTAGCCAAGAACTTTCTCTTTCAAAATGTGTCATTAGTTTGGACTAAATTGCCATCTAACACCTGAAAAATGAATCGGAAAGAACAATGAGTCAGAGAGCTTCGCAGCCAGGCAGTAGCAGCTTCAATGGAGGACACCATTTTGCAAATCAATCCTCAAAAACCTTTGAACTTTGAGTTCTCTTCCTCTTCCGGTAAATGCCCTCTATGTTGTTTTTATGCAATATCCTCATCAAAGAGGCTCTGAGCTTTAGACTGATACCAAAGTTTCCCAAACTTCACAGATACCAGTAATTTCACTAAAAAAGGTGTCAAAAATCACACTATTTTAATGCCACAGATTTTCATGGGAAAACTGACAAAAATTGTCACAAAATTGCAAAAAAGACCATGATGAACGGGAGAGAAGTTACCTAAAGTAGAGTTTTGGGAAAGTTTGGAGTGTGCTGATTCTAACAGTGTGTGTTGCTGTTGCTGTGGAACTTGTGATAAGCTGCGATTTTCTTACACGCTCGTGAACTGTCAGATTTCAGAAATTTTACCGATACGCATAGAGTTTTACAGTGCTTCACATGTTCATTTGTACTACTGGGGTAAGACTGGTTCGTGTCCCGTCTCAGTCCTCTGAACATATATATTTTTTAGAGTCGACAACCAGTCCAATGACGCACAATGCGTCATATCATTGCCAACCTCTTGGGCTGTGTGCACGTCCTTCACAGGGAACCAAAGTGGCGAGGCAAGATCGTACCCAAGGGAATGAGATTACGTTACTGTACTGGTCACGGTTTGTTTATGTATGTATAGATCTGGAGTACTGGGACAGGAAAGAAACCAGTTTCAACGGTCATGCATCGCAGTGTGAAGTGCAAATGTGCGGATTGGCAGTGAAGAGAGGCATATTTAGTAACTAATTGATTTTAATGCCATCATAATTAATGGATGTAATGATGACTTTTTTAACCTAATTTATTGTCATTATTTTGCTAATTTGACAGTGATGATAATCAATAATCGTTTTGCACCATTCAACATTATTTTCCACGGAATGGTTGAATATTTTAACAAAGCCAGACAAAACAATTTTATGTACTGTACATGCATGTACTACTCTTTGCCATTGTGCATCAGAATTGCTACGATTTTGCAATCTGTCACGGCTTACATGTACATGTACGCAACGCACATTGATGAAAACAAGATAGCACTAGCACTAGGGTTGCTAGTGTGTAATGCGCTGGTCTGAAGGGTTCCATATGGAAATCACTGATTTTTCCCAATAGTGGTGTATTGGCCATCAAAATTGATTACATGCCTGAAACAGTCAAGGAAAATATCAAAATATACATGTACAGTACTGTAACTTCAGAAATATTGAAAAAATGTTCAGACCAATCTCGTAACGTTTGTGCACATAGTGTCAAGTGATGTCCGTGTATGGAACTCTTTCTGCAATCACCTCTCGCCACTGTCAGAATGTCATGGTGACTGAGTTCCCAGGTTTGATTCTCAG